GTGCCGGTGTCATTACTTGTTTTTGTACTTTTGGATTCCTTCAATTTTTCGTATCTACGATTATTGTGATATTTTTACTAAGTTAGTGTAGGTCACCCTTTTATTAACCATTTCAGATCACGAAAACTAAAATCCTGATCCTGATTAGAAAGAGAGCTGTGAATAGTTCACCACCCGAACTCTCTTCAAGTACTAGTGAAGGTTGTCGTAAGATATTTATTTATTTGTTTTTTTTTAATTACAATTTATCTTTTAAAAGAAATATTCTCATAGTTCTATTAGGCATTCTAAACTATTGTAAAGAATGTAAACCTTAATTCTATTATTCGCTTCCGTATTTAAATTATAAATTCATTTTTTTAAAGATTTCAGGTCTTTACAATTCTATTCATTGAAGGATGAAGAAACTTGATTTGTACTTAATAACTTGACTTTTCCATGAAATTTATGCCCATCTACATGTTTGTATAGCTTATAACAGGTTTCTAAGAATTATATCATAAGCAAAGCTCTTGAGTTCTCACTAGATCTAATGTAGTATGGATTGTTTGGATGAAAACCATTAACAACGATTCCACTTAATGAGGTTAGATTTTGAAAATAAGTCGAATATGTTGTTTGATTGGAGTTATCATTTTTTTGCTCAGCTTTAATATTATAAAATTTTCGATGAATAAAAGTTTTGATAACAATAAACTAAAGAGATCTAAATGAATATAAGAGAATGAAAGGCAAAAAGATCAAAGAGAAGGTGAAGGACAATTTGACGAAACCTTAATTAGGATTTTCCTTTTTTTCTTCATATTATTGTGAGAAAGAAAAAAGAGTACTTAAATAGAGGAGAAAATGAAGTATATGTACATAACATATGCACACACAATTTTCGTTTTAATCTTAACACTGCTCAAACATACATACAAACATATTTGGCACACACAAGCAAAGTGCTTAAGGGACTCTGCAACCCGCATCATCTGCGACCTGAATTCTGCAGATCCCACAGTTTGAAAATAAAGTCTCAATTCTTCTTTCTCTAATAAAGAAAAATATTGGATATGACATAAATAAGGGAAAAAAAAAAAATTTCTTCCTATTCTCCAACGAGAGATTGGGTTTTAATTAAAATTTAGGGTTTTAATTAAAATTTTATTATTCTAATTTATTACACATATTCGTACTAAATTACTCTGAAAATAAATAACTTTTAGATATCTATACTATTGGTTGTAATTTTATTTTTAAAATACTTTTATTTATATAAGATATATGTTTTGAATATTTTGATTCAGCTCGACTTGCAACTACCAATTCAAGAATTGATAATTTTATCTTAAATATTTTGAGTTTTGATGTATAAAACTTTACTTATCCAAAAAAAAATATGTAAGTAGTTTGATGAAACTAGTCCACTTGTAGCAATTCTAATTATAGTTTAACTTGATCTTGGCCTTATAAATTTTAGAATTTGCTCAAAGTTTGTTTAAGTATATTATTACATATATATATAAATATATATTAAGATTACTTTTTATGACATACAAACAGGAGTTGTTACTTATAAACGGTGATCTAAAATCATAAACAAATATTTTATGATATTAGATCACATATATATAGTTGACTTTATAGCGCTTATATATATATATATATTTATATGTTGGATTTTAAGGACTCAACTTGAGTCTTCCCACAAAGACCCTTTCTCCTTATATAAAGTCTGTATTCATCAAATGTCAGAGGTTGATATTGTGCTGGACGCCCCTTTGTCACAAGCTGCTTTGCTGGTTCAATCGCCAAATCACTCTTTGGGTTATAGAAGAAAGCCAGTGACTGACGTTCCTTCAATGAGTTCACCACAACTCGGTGCTCCACACTCTTGTAAATTGCATTGCTTAGCACCTATGCATAATAAATAATTATTCAAATATACAAACAAATTATAGTATTTAATTAATAGCCCTCCATAATTCATGATTTATGTTTTTGAAACAAGTAATAATATTTGATAACCTGAATCTGATCTCCTATGTTGACAATGAAGGCATTAGGGATAGGGTTAACATTGACCCAACGACCAGAGTTTCGGACTTGGAGGCCGGTGACATTATCGTCGGCCAGGAGGATAGTTATGCCGCCGGGGTCGGAGTGTGGAGAGATGCCTAAAGTAAGGTCTGGTTGTGGGCATTTAGGGTAGAAATTAGCCCTTAAACAAGCACCAATATTCTTAGCTCCACCAAAAGCATTCTGGAGATAGTCTTCTTCTAGGCCTAGATTGGTGGATAGAACCTTCAAAAGTCTTTGACATATTTTCACCAATTCTCTAGCGTATTCTTCAATCAATTCCCTGTATATTTCATCAAGATTACTTAATTAATAAATATACATATATATGTATTTATTTCCACAAATTTAATTACTTTAATTAGAAAATTACCCATATACTGAATGTTTCTATCTGTCATAATTTTTTATTTTCCTTTTTGTTCAAAAACAGCCATGCACTGAGTAACCAAAACGCTAAATTATCTTGTGTATGGATAAAGATTTATGATATTCATTTATAATTTTCTTAAACCTATTAAAATTCATTAAAACCATTATTTCTTGATTCAATTATAGGTATTTTCACCTCTCTCTCTCTCTCTCTCTCTCTCTCTCTCTCTCTCTCTCTCTCTAGCTTTCTTATTAAAAGATTAATTATGTTATTAATAGTGTACAAGTATCATATAATTATTAAAATAGATGAATTTACATTTTTAAAAGTAACATATATATATATATATGTGTGTGTGTGTGTGTGATTCTGGCCATGCAAATTATGCATTGTAATAAAGAACTTTGCGGTTGAAGAAATTATAACTGGTAATTAATTTACAGTAAGTAATAATTATAGGATCACGTGATGATAAAAGATTCTTTACTATAAAACTAAATTCATGAGACAGAAGAGATAATTTACAAAAATAGTAAAAACTAAAAGGTTGGCCTGCTCTTAGAAATTCCAAAGATAACAAGTAATAACTAAAATGAGTAAGAACAGTAAAATTCTTTCACGTAAAAAGACTGGTGAGTCGTCGGCCAAATTAAGCACGTTTTAAATGAGGGACAAAAAAATGGAAGAGGTTGATACGCATACCTGCAAGACGGCGGAACTGCAGGCCACTTGCTCTTCTCCCTAACCGTTACCGGCAAGTAATGGAGAAAGAAGTAATCGCCCCAGTCCAAACTCGCGTTCTCCTCTACTCCCAGGCGACTACCGTACCCTACATACGTGTCCGGCGCGTTCGCATATTCCTGTTTCACCTCTAACGGCAGGTTGAAAAAGTCGCGCCACACCTCACGGATGGAGGCCATGAGACGATGGTCAACGCCGTGGTTGACCACCTGGAAAAACCCCCAGTCGCGGCACGCGCTAGAGACGGTTCTCAGCGTTTGGTGACGGAGTGCAGCGTCGTGGCTGAAGAGGTTGGTGTAGTCGATAACGGGAATGTTAACGTGACGGTCGTGAAACTTGGTAGTGTTAGGTCGGTCGTCGTGTGGTTTAATGTAACGGGTGGGTATTGAGTTTATGCCGCTCTCGGAAAGAGACTGGACGTTGATCACTGGCTCCGGCCAGCATAGGTTCTGAGTGCAGCTCATGATGGGTGAGAAGGAAGATGGGTTCTTGTTGCAGGGAGAAGGAGAGTGTAATAGGGTATTTATATAGGCGGGTTATTCGGCGCCGTGGGGAACTTGCTTTGCTTATTAGTATAATTGCGTGCTATGTTTTACATGCCAGATTAAGGCAAGAGAATTTAATGACTTTAGTTTTATTAATAATTTAAATTTATTTAATTTAGATTAAGGTGTGAATGCTGAGCTCATTGTTTGTGAAAACCCATGAACAAAGGTCCCACATCGAGCCGTTGTTTGCTTGGCTTGTGACGACAAAAATGAGAGAGACATTTTTTTAAAGAGGTTATTTAAGTGGATAATTAATATTCTGGATTTGCTTGTTAATAAAATAGAAATAGTTAATTTTTATATGATTAAATGATTTTTAATAATTTCTTAATTTTAATTATTAAACAAGTTATAAAATACATAGCATTTACTGAATATTAATTATTTACAGAGATGAAATTAATAATGAAATAAATATGAAACGACCACTAAAACATTATAATAAATGAGAGTTGATGACGATTACGAGCATCAATCCACGATTATTAAAAATATATATTTTTTAATTAGTAGGAGTCATGAAAATTCTTCTGCCATTTAATTCTCTCACATGACACCATTGTCACGTGCTGATCCACGTGATTTTTAATTTTCCGTAACCGAATGTCTATTATTGTAAAAAATAATTACCACTGAGACTTTTATATATATATATATATATATACAATTTACTAAAATAATATATAATTAGAACCATAAATTAATATCTTGAAATCTAATTTTAATTAAATTACCATTTTTTTTATAAAAATTAAAAAAAGGAATGTGGTGTAGATGGGAGAAAGAATATACAAATTGGGTCAGTTAGTGGTGGAGAAGAAAAAGTGGGAGCAGTCTGATTCAGAATATTGATTAATAAAAATTAATATATTAAAATATAATTTTAATTAAATTACCTTTTTATACATAAATACAAATATACACGTGTGCTGTGAGGGAGAATATATATGCGTACGTGTTGTATCTCCCCTATAATCTGCTAATTCTGACATAATAATTCCAGTCAATTTTATCAAATTGAATTTTTCTTGAAGAAAATTATTTTAGAATATGTAACAAAAATATTTTTGACATGTGATAAATATGTCAATTAATTTGAGGCTTAAATATATATTTACGTCAAATCTTTTATTTTAAGTCATTAAATGTTTAGAATGTGGTTGTGTTTAATATATTTATATTGGTTTTAACACTATAACTTAATAATAATTAAATTTGGTGTTACGTGAAATATGTGTTATATATAATATTATTTATAAAAATCACTTCAATATATTAAAAAAATATAAAAGAAATAAAA